ACAGTTAATTATTTTCTACAATAGGTTCGTGTTAAACAATTTCCTTACAAATGAAATGTGATTTGACTATTTTTTCTATTCAAAATGTAAAGACATGCAATCTCAATTGTTTCGTGCGAAATTTATATGTTTATCCGGCCTTACCTCAGCACTCCCACTTGCCTGCTGCGTTGTTGCTTTCCTCCGTCCTCTAGTGACGGGCACATCTGTAAGACAGATATTTTGGAATTCAATGACAACTCAGCCAGCTTACCCATCTCTTCATCCTCCTCTGGAATAGCTTCTTCAACTTCCATCTTTTTGAGTTTCAAGGGTTTCACTTCAGCTACTTCAGAATCTACAAAAGAATCAGATAACTCACTCTGCGCGGGAACAGTCAAATCGATGTGTAAAACTAGAGCCTGCACCAACTCAACCTGTTCCGCAACGGCACCTTGCGGTGCCCCAGCGGAACATATGCACTAAGGAACGTGCACGACATCTGGCCTCAAGTAAACGCAACTTTACGTGGCTAGTGTTATAGGCGCACTCAAGTGAAGTGTCACTGCTGAAAAAACTCGAGTTTTCACCGCCGCCTCGTTCGGCCTTGCGCCGCGTTCGCGAACGTGTCTTCGAATGCTTCGACCGCTGCTTAACGGTAAAAATATTTAGGGGATACGGTCGCGAATGCGGCGCATGACTCGAGTTAAGCGCCATGGATGTCCGATCTGCTGAAGCTGTAGCACTCTCATTGAGACGAACTGTATATCGTATATCACATCGCGTTCGCGACGCCGACTGTCAACGTGCATACACCTCGCCAGTTCGCTCCCGTTCAAAAGCGGTACAATTAGTATGGTGACATCCTAAGATGACTATGTTACTCCTCTGATATAAGGAAGTTCATGGCACAAGCGAAAATATCGTAGATTTGTGGGAAGCCGTAATAATGCTTATTACGGTTTTACAGGCATGAAGAGACTATAAATAATCATACGAGCTTGTAAGTGTTTAACAGGATCCGTATTGATGCGCAACGCTATCTACCTGTCTACCCCAGCCTGAAATCAGTTCAAATGCTATGAGAAGCAGTGTCAGTGTTAGGAGCAGTGGTACTGACTTAGGAACCACAACTGCACTCTTCTAAGCTTATGTTGTATTACCCTTCGCATAAATTTGAAGCGATGCTCGTTTTTCACGATAGCGATGGTAAATTATAAGCGCACAGAATGCTCACCCGATCTTGTTCTCCTTCTATTGCCTCTATCTCCAGTTGTTCCAACAGTACGATGTTTTTTCAAAACATTCTGAAGCAAGAAAAAAAGGAGTTCAGCTTTAGACTCACAACAACGGCTTTATTTAACTTACATCAAAGTAGGTGCGCGCATCCTCATCTCCCTTTGCGGTTTCAAATTTTTCTAAAACAAACAACAAAGTACTCAGTCATAAGAAAAGTAGTGACAGTTCTTACGCTGCAAGGCCCTAGTAGCCCTCGTCTTTCCAGCTGACTCCGGAACAGATTTACCAGCGGCCACTGTAGAACGAGTAGGAGTTCTTCTGCAAAAAGATATCACCACGTATGAAAAACTTCCCGATGAATATCTAAAATTACCTAGAAGGAGATCTTGTTGGGACAGAAGGTTCTTCTTCCTCTTCTACTGGAGAGGGTACGCGTTTACGAGCAGAACGGCTGAAAATCTGACTGCAGTTTGATTCTCTCCACTTTCTTTGAATACGTCCAGATC